AGAAAAATCTTGAATCAGTCTGTCATCATTATATATTGTTCAGTTTGGGGCAGTAATTCTCTTAGGACTGAAGTTGGAGGACATAAATTCAGATTAAGTATATTTGACTATCAAGAGTGAAAAAAAAAAATTAAAACAAAAATAATACACCCCACCAGAAACTGCAAGGCTGGTTGAGGTTTCATGAGAGCTACCCAAGGATGGTAGTGAAACAATGGGTACATATTTGACAGATCTGATGTGGTCAGAGAACGTTTCAACACACTGGACAAAGAGGGTAATATTCATGCTACCAAAGAAAGTAAACAATTTACATTGTGTAATAAAAATTTTGACTTTTTTTTTAGTCTTTGTTCAGTAAGTGTTATTTCATAATTGCTTCTGCCTAGAAAGCAAAGGAAATGACTATTTCCTTCAAACTTTGCTTTTGTGACCTGGACAGAGGAAAAATAGAGCCATGAAATTTAAAATCCTATGAATTTGGAGAGAACTCACCACTCAAACAATTGCTTCTTCTGCATGGTGCACCCTTCCAAACATCAAGCTACCTGCTATCATATATCCAAACTTTCTGTCATTCATTGTCCCAGTGCTACACTGCCTCCTCGAAAGAGAGAGCAGCCGTCTTCAGAAGAGGATGAAGTCACTGATCCATATTATAGAGGTGCAAAGAAACCCATACTACTCCAACCAATATGACCTCAGTGACCTGATCAGAGATTTTGCCCACACAAAATCCAATGTTGAGCTTTTGATGTCAAGTCTCAAGCAGTGGAATTTATTAGATGAAAATGAGTAAATTGTAGGTCAGAGAATGCGTCACCAGCATTTTTCAAGCTTTTTCCCCTGTCAAGATGGGCTTCTGCCACAATATGACCAATCTGTTAGAGGAAATTGGAATTGCCTGTGACCCCAGTGAGTGGCACCTCTTCATCAGCTGCTCATCCAGGAGCTTCAAAGCCATGCCACTTCATAATGGGAATATGTATCCATCTCTTCCTCTGGCTCACTCAGTGAAGCTCAGAGGGATACAGCAGTGTCAAGATCTTGCTAGGTGCCTTGAAATATGAGGAGTACAGTTAGGAGGTTATCAGAGATTTCAAAATGATTGCCTTCCTGATGAGTCTCCAAGGTAGCTTTACCAAGTTTCTGTGTTATCTTTACCTTTAGAACAGCAGAGACACTGCAACACACTACCACAGTATGGAGTAGCCACAGCAGACAGAGTTCAGTGTGGGGAGGAACAATGTCAATTGGAACCCCTGAAAATATTGTTTCCTGTACTGCACTTAAAACTGGGCCTTATAAAACAATTTATCACAGCTCTAGATAAAGAATCTGCAGCCTTCAAGTACCTTCAAGACCACTTCCTTAATCTGTCTGCAGCAAAAATCAAAGCCAGTGTCTTTGTTGAACCACAAATAAAAAAGAGTGCAAGGAATTCAAGAACCTCACTAGGACAAAGAAAGCAGCATAGAACAGCTTTGTCACAGTAGTTTGGATCTTCCTGGTTAATCATGAGGCCAAAATCTATGTGAAGCATGTTGAGATCCTGGTGAAGAACTATGGCAAAATGGGCTGCAGGATGTCTCTCAGAGTCCATATCCTTGACAAATTGATAAATTCAAGGATAACATGGGGGTGTACTCAAAGAAGCAAGGATATACTGAATTTTGAACGCCACTACCAAGGATTGTATAATGAAAACTTGATAGGAAACTCTATTTGGGGGATTTTGCATGAGAATCATATACACTGACTTCTTACATGTAGTTATTGGAGAAAAGCAAGGATGCATGCTTTCACCCTTCCTTTTTATCACTGCCATAGATTTGATACTAAGCAGGGCAGTATCAGATCCAAAATATAAGAAAGCAGCTGACCAATGTAGATTTTGCAAAGAACATTTCATTTTACTGGCAGAGAATAATAGTAATCAATAATAGATGACCAATGGAAATTAGATCTCTCTTTCATTCACTATACATGTCAGTTAGATGTGAATGCTAAGAAAGCAAAAGCCAAAATAAAAAGTTTTCTTTTGCACAGGAACTCTGAATATCACATCAAATGCAAAAATGTAAAATACAGTAGTCATTTATGAACATTGCTGTTGCTAAAAAAAAAATTTAAAAAAGAGCCACCAGATTTGCTTAAAAGAAAGCCACTTGTAAATGACTGACACAGAACCCCACTGACAGGTCAGCTGTCAACAATGGTGCATTCTTGTTGTCCTCACCATGACCACATCCCTCCTCATCACCGTGACCTTTGTCAAGCCACTATAACAACTGTTGTCAGAAGTGTGCAGCAAGGGAAATGAACTATTCAAGTCTTATCTGCACCAAATGCCTCAACCTCATCAGAAACAACTGGTGTCAGCAGTGTACAGAAAGGGATTAACGAACTAACAAAATGAACCCTATAATAATGGAAAAAGAACTTTAATGCCTATCAGATGTCTTGTTTGATCTGATAATTCATTGAGACCTATCTACATGAATGAATTTGGCCCAAATTGTTCTTCAGCCTGATGGCCTTTATACACAAACTCAACATAGCTTCATTAATCCACTCCAAAGCACTCTTGTCATCACCACCGTGACCTTAGTCAACTAACCTGCTAAATGTACCAACTCCAGATTTCTGACTTCACCTGACTCTTCACATACAAAATGTGCCCAACAGGCCAGGTGTTGATGCAGGCTGTTGACATCACCACAGTGATTTCTAGCACCTTGACAGAATCACATATCAACAATTTTGTTATCCTTTCAAAATGGCAATAACCAGCCTGTAAGGCTGATTATTGCCATTTTCATTTGATCTCCCATTTGACCAGAATCCAACAGAGATATTCTGCTCGATCAAGCATCGCTATTACACTCCTGTCCTTTCTTGTCATCACCACTGTGACCTCAGTCAACTGACCTACCAAACACACTTTACCAGGTCTTACCACAGATCAACCCTGCCAATGGCATCCACTCATGCTACCAACTGCATATACTTTGTGAACTCACACTGGTAAATCCACATGAAATAAATCCTTTTCACACAATTATATATTGCTAGAATTTAGTATTTTATTTTTATATATATATATATATATATATATATATATATATATTTTTTTTTTTTTTTTTTTTTTTTCTGAAAATTGATCAATACACACTTGTTGAAATTTGAATCATTGTTCTTTCTTTTGCAACCATACACTGGTTATAACATATACAGTGGCCTCTACAATTGGACAAATTTTGTCATTGTGGTACAGTAACCACTTATAGAAGTGGAAGGTTTTAAGTATCTTTTTCAGTAGCATTAGCAACAATAGTGAGGTGGATAATGCCATCAACTCAAGACTCACTCAGGCCAGTTCAGTCTTCCAATGATTTCAGCATATGTAGGAGTCAACAGATCTGCTTTCACATCAGCTATACACTTAAATTATTGTCTCTATCACGATTGAAGCAAAATATGCTTTTACCTGCTGAGCATTTCCAAATAAAAATTGCCTTAAAAATTTAAAATCTAAGCTGAAATTATTCTATTTCTGATTTATCTAAAAGTTGGTGTAAGATCAGTTCTTTGAAGACTAAATTACTGAAAATTCTTTTGCATCAGCCTAATTCATAGGTCTTTTATCAATAAGTGGTTTTTGGGAAGAGTGGAATAAAACACTCTTATTTATGACTTTTTTTTAATGTAATTTTTTTTAGTTTCTCAAACTTAAAAAATACATGTACATGCATTTTATTTGAATATGTTTTGTCGCAAATAAGTTGTTTTTCTACAAAATAAAATATCTTGTTTTGGTAACTTTTTTACTTGACACTTTTTCTAATTCTCTTGAAACCAGTGAAACATCTTTTTCTCGTCAGCTCAGTACTGAATAATTTAGTTTTTTGTATAAATATGTATTGATAAATCATAATATTCATAATATTTTTACATTCTGTGATTTGAAGAAAAGAAATGTGAATTTTGTATGTCAAGAAATGTATCTTCAATGTTGTAAAAATTGTTGTTTTGATTGACTTTCTCTTTACAAAACATCATATAGTTTTTAAACAGGTACTTTACTTTGTATGGTGAACAAGAGAAGCTACCAAAATATGATTCTTTATTGTGGGAGAATCATTGGCAAATAATTTCTGGTAAAATATTGTTGAATTTTATATAGAGGAAAAAAGGCATTTTATTTTTTTTTTTCTAGAGTGTTTCAAAATCAATCATATATGTAGATCAATGTGTCTGAATAAAATCAGACTAATATATAATAATTGTTCTTGAAATGAATGAAATAAATTCAGTAATAATGAAAAGCTGATACAAACTTGTTTTTGTGATGTTTACAAATTTGTAAGTATATAGCTCATTAAAACTATATAGTTATAAACATGGGTTGGGTGATTTAAAAAAAAAAAAAAAACATCTGTTCAATTTTTTTCTTCAAGTATATATAAAAATGTATAAAATGTAATCAAACCATAGTTACTTTTTGTTACTAGAATTTTATTTATAAATTACCATCAAACTGCAGACATACTTTCATTTATTGAATTTGCCAAATGCTGTGGCATTTGAAAGTTACATAGTATAAGAGAATTAAGGAACTCCAGTTTGGTAATGATTATTTAAAGAAAATAAAACTAACATTTTTAATTCCATTACTATGGGAGTAATATGACCTTGAATAGATTTTAAAAATTAGCTAATCAAATTCTATAGTGAAAAATTGATTTTTTTTTTTTTTTGTCTATTTACAGTGATTGTAACAATTTTCTGTTACTTTATGAAATTTTGAATAATCTCAAGCTTAGAAGAATATTGATACAAAGAAATGAATTAAATTTATTAGAATGAAATATTAACATTTGTAATTTGGGAATTTTGTTATATTTAGCATATGTATTTGAGAAAAGGACAATATTATTAATGCATTCACATATTTACAATAAATCATTCTTAAACAATTTATTTTTCTTTCTTTGCAGCTTTGATAACTACACAGCCAATATGATGGTTGATTTGATACCTGTTAGTCTTGGCTTGTGGGATACTGCTGGTCAAGAAGACTATGACCGTCTACGACCACTTTCTTATCCACAGGTAGTAACTTGCATTCAATTTTTCAATGTGTTAGTGTTTTCTTTTATGACAAATATTATTTTTTCTGGAAGATGAAAGTTATGAAACTGAACCTATAATCTACTGAAATAGATTGTTCTTATTCTGCTGTCCTTATTTTCCTCTGAGTCTGTACTACCTGGCCCAGGGATTGAACTAGCAATTACAATACCAACAAATTCATACTTTAATTCTTTGGGCTATTGTCACGTGAAACAATCCAAGTTCTTGCTTCGGGAATGTCCCAAGGAAAAATAACCTAAAGCTTAATGTTAAACATAAGAGAGCCTTGAACTTAATTCTTATTACTTTCTCTTCTTCTGCTGCTGCTATTACGCTTCTAATATTCTAATAAATATCCTAAAATGTTTAGAAATAAAATATCTATTTTTTGTATTCTCACTCACTTATTCATCCATATTATAGAAAATATGTTTAAAAAATTCTGCTAACCATGAATTTTTTTTAGACAGAAAGTTTAGAACTTCTGATTTTATAGTTTATAGATTAAATTTCAGAAAAAACAATTTGTAAATTTTTCTCTCATAATACATAATTTTCTTATATATCTCATTTGATCAATGTACAATAGTGAATGCTTATTTTATTTGCATTCATTTTATTTTTGAGGAATTTTTTCTGATTTTTATCTTTCTCTTTTAGACGGATGTATTTTTGATATGCTTCAGTGTTGTTAGCCCTTCATCATATGAAAATGTTTTAACTAAATGGCACCCTGAAATTAAACACCACTGTCCGGATGCACCAATTATATTGGTTGGTAAGTAAAAAACACTTGTTTTTTGTCTTTTTTATGTTTGCATAAAAACTAGACAAATAAACTAGAATCTGTGTTTTCTCTCTTCCTCTAGTAGTATACTTGCATGGAAGAATTTAACTAGCTAATAGCAGAATGGTCAAAAACATTAAAAAAAAAAAAACTGTCAAAATGGGAAAACCTGTAAAAGAATTGTCATAATGGATGTTACCTGCCTTACCCATAATTATAATGAATGGTGGAAAAACAGGGAATTGTAGGTAGAAAAGTGGCTCTATGAATCAATGAGAATTTAGTCGGTAGGAGTCTTGATCAAGTATCAAGCAACTTCACAGATGAACAAAGCACAATGATAGAGGAAGAGAAAGAAGCATATGGAAAATGAAAGAAAAACAAATTATTTTGCCCTCTAAAATAACAAGCTATTTTGGCTACTATGTGTGGAAAATTACAATTAAACACTGATATGGTGAGATATGATTGTCTGGTTGGCAAAAGTAAAATTGTTTGTGAGGTTGTAAAAGATCCCTTCTGCTAGGATGCAGTAGGGATCTAGGCCAGCAAAACACAAGAACTTGAGACAATAGTGACATTGCAAGGCAGAGCCAAGCTAGATACAAAGATGAACCAACAGCAGGCAGTGTTTCAGATGCAAGGGTTCACACATGCTGTGTGACTGTGACAACCTCTTCATTCCAGCACCTGCACATCATGGATCACAGCCAATAATAGATATTTTGGTAGAGGAGGAGGAGAGTAAAAGACCTTGTCCATACTGTCTGTACTACCACTGTAATACTATCCAATCTAGTGGATAGATGGAATGGAATGGAAGGAGCAATATAAAAGCAGTTGATGGTAGAGAAGTGAGATGCAGAGGAACTTGCACCATAGCATTAGAAATGCAAGGTTGGTGACTAAATTTAATTTCATCATAATTGCCATTTGATTGCAGGTATTAAAGATGTGTTGGGAATGGATGTAATCATTCGGCTTGGAGGAGTCATTATTAATAAAGAAAGTACTGTGGAGTTTATCGAGAAACTTTGTGCGATAAGTATGTGATAGCAAGTTACAGTAAAAGGAACACTGGTAGAATTGAAGATGAAGATTTCTGTGCAGAGATCAATGGTAATAGGTGGACAGCTGAGTGGAACTAGACAGCAGGGCCGCCAGTGCTTAAGAATAAAATGGCCTTTTACAAGAGTCAACAGCAGGAAGAAGAAAGAGCAGAGTTTGAACAAGAAGTGGAGAGGTGAATTGAAGAGGGAATTTTTACTCTGTGTACAAAAGATGCAACAGTTGGAGTATTGTTGCTAATGGTAGTGGTTCAGCTGACAAAAAATAAGGGCAGGCCAGTACTGTGAATTGAATGAGATGTGTCATGTCACTCAGGTGGTGAGATGATAGATAAATGATTGTGGACCTAAAAGCTGCATATCTTTAGGGAATTGTGGAAATACCAGTCAGTCCAGTTTAAAGGAAAAACATTGTCTGACCCACCCAGGTTTTAAAATAAATGTTACACTGAAAGTCATAGCAACTATACTTAAGATAATGCTAGAAAAGATGGATAGAAAATGAAATGCTGTGGATTCATATACTGATGACATTTTGGTGGATGAGACAGCAGTACTCATGCAAAGGGTTATGGAACACCCTGCTAGTTTGGCTTGATAACAAAGCCCCCAGAATCATTGGCTGGGGGTGGGTCAGTATTAGGTCTTCAATTACATAAAGATATGGTATGAGATCTGGTATTCAAAAGAGAAAATGAGGTTGCAGAGGTGGGAATTTGCATGAGCAAATGTGAGCTGTTTTCAATCTGCAAAAACTGATAGGCTATTACCTTTTATTGCTAGATGGCTTAGGATGACATGCAGCTATATAAAAAGGAGGACTGATGGAATGAACTGGGAAGAGGAAGTGGATGATGAGACAGTTGCTGTGATGAGCAAAATTGTAGAAGAGATGAGAAGGCAGGCCCCAGTATCACTATGGGTGTGAGTGTAGAAATTGATGGCATTGTAGTTGAAGATGCAGCCTGGCTGAGAAAGAAGAATGATTACAACCATGTCAACATAATGGAGTTGGATGCCATGATAAAAGCATTAATCTGGCTTTGAATTGGAGACTAAAAGATGTGGAAATCAGGACTGATTTGGCCAGTTTTGAGCTGGATAGATACAGTGATTACAGAAAAAAAAGGAAATCCAGACAAAGGGTGTTAAGGTGTTGCAAAAATTATTATCCAGCAATAGTTGGGGACACTAAAAGAGTTAATAACTGAATTTATGTGCAACTTTTGTGCATTTGGAGAGGAACAAAGCTGATTAAAGAAAACCTAGATGAAAGGCAAAGAGAGTACAACTTTGGTATGCTACTTAAGGTACAAGAACTTGAAAGAGTTTCACTGCCTGCATCACATGGGGGTCCAAGGAACATTATATCTGGTTTGTAAGATTAACCTGGATGTCACAAAAGAAGCTGTGCAGAGGATAGTGAAGCATCAGTGAAAGAGGATAAAGAAATGAAAGCAAGAAGTGTGTGAAAAAGGAAAGAAAAACAAATTGTTTTGCCCCCCAAAACAACAAAACAAGCATGTAGGATGTAAAACAATAAGTAGGATTAATACTTGATCAACATAATCATGGTTATCCTAGCAGAAAGAGTCTGATATTGAAAAACCCAAAACTTTTAATGAAGTCAGGAAAACCTCACTGACAACATTTTATATAATGTTATATAAATTTTTTCATTCATTATTTTCAAAATACATGCAGACAACAATTCAGATCATACATTCTTAAAATATTTCCAGATGATTTTATAGTTTAAGAATAAATTCATTAACTATTAAATTGAGTTTTATATTTGAATGTTTTCAATAGTTGGTACTATCCAAGATATTTTAATAAAATCAAAGTGATATAACATAGATTGTGTACACCGGAAAATATAAATTAAATGAACCCTTCTCAGATCCTTCATATTCAAATGGAATTCAATGCTTGGAGATGAGATTTGCCTGAACCTAATCAAGTCAATGCCACAAAGGGTTGAAAAGGTTATTCAAAATAAAGGAGGACCCATAGATTATTAAATATTTTGAACTATATTACCCTATTATAAATAAATTATACCTCTATTATTCTTTATTTAAAGCTGTTCGGTTATGTTTCTATTGATTACTAGTTGCAGGAAATAAGTGAGTCACTTTTTTTTTTTTTTTTTTTTTTTGCACAGTTTTTCCTTAAATCTCATTTATATCCAAAATTATAATTATCAATAGAATACCTTAGGGTGAGTAAACTTTTTTACTAGCTGGTCGGGAAAGGGGTCTTTATATTAGTAAGATTAAAAATTAGTTTGACCCCCAAAAACAATAGGCAAGAAAAATTTTAAGTAAAAAAATCAAGTGAGTCACTTATTGAACAGCACTGTAACTGAACTACTTTTTCTTTTTAATTGACTTGTACGATTTTAAAATCTTACATTTGTCCATTTTCCCTTCAGATTGACTCATGAATAAACAATACAAACAATATTTTCTCGTTATTATCTGGGCATTGCACTTTTATCACAATCATTTTGTTGACTTCCTTTAAAAAATGAACAATGGGTTATGAAAATTATTTGTAAATATTCTGTGTTGCTGCTGATGTAAACATTTTTATCCTGATGAATACAGGAATTCACAACTACTTTTCAATTGGTGGGATCACTCTTTGGAAACATCACGTTTATTTTAAAATTCTGGTTTGAAAATATTTAACATTAACACTTACTAGTAAAAATAGAGAGTTGAGTATATTTTTGTCATAAAACACTCTGATGGAATGTTTAACACTGTAGAAGTACATCATGTTTTTTGGATGTATAACATTTTCTGTTTTTAGTATTTTTAGATGTATAACATTTTCTTTTAGAAATACTTTTTGCCAATTTAGTTTTCTCATGTAAACATTGTTACTTAAAAAAATAAATGGGAGAAAGTTAAAATGAAAATGATACACCTCCATATCTTAGAATCCAAATATATTGTATCTTTTCTTATTTCTTTATAAATTTTTAAACACTCATTCATTGTAGATAAGCCATTTTCATGATGTGAAGACAAATGTTTTCTTTACTGATTCATTCTTGACTTAATAAAAATGCTTCTAGACTTATTAAATTTTTATGTTTCATTTTCATTACAAAATGTAACACTATAAATGTTTTCTTTATCCTTTCCATTTTATTGTCTTATTACTTACATTATGTTATCCTCATCATTGTCATACATTGTACGCTCTGTCCTTCTTCAAGTGATTGGAATTTGTTATGGAGTGATTTCACAATGGAGGCTTGTATTTGTACTAAGTCGGTCCTAAAATAGGTTCGACGTACAAAACGTTAGGAACTTAATATAATAGGTATGACGCAGTAATCTAGTTGTGGTCGCTGATACTTTTAGTATTCGACTAACGGTCATCCGACATCGACTGACTGACCAACTCACTAAGCGACTCAGCGACTGACTTGTTACTCTTACTACTCCTACTTATTATAGGTGGGAGAGTCTATTAACTATAGAATAGGTGAGTTCCACTATAACAGAATTTTAAACTAAACTTTTCATTTCGTCCTCTGGAGTAGATTGTTCTAGTTCCACATGCCATGCCTCTTCCAGATGTCTCAGTTATTTCCCTTTAACTTAACTCTCCAAAAATTTAGTTCACCACTGCTGTGGCCTGGTATTGAGTCTAGTCACTGGATCTAACCAACGACATCTTTATGCACTGGACCATGTTGTCCTTAAAGACAACTGTGTATGAATTTTTGGGACTTATAAACCTAATGTCTCAGCAACCTTTTTTAACAGTGCTCATATTGCAATTTTTCTGTTATTATTGCATTTTTTACCAGAGCTTATATTGCAATTTTTGTTGTTATTCATTGTTTTCACTTGCATCCTTATTGCTGGTTCCCATATTGTATTCATATCTATGCTTGGTCGGCACAGGAGATTTTTGTGGCCTAGCATATGTGCTGATTCCTTAAGTTTTCAAGTTTTCCAGTGATGTTCTCTGTCTATTATTTCAACCTCATCCCACAGAGGGTGGTGATCACCCTTTTCCCTCCATATATGGTCAGTGTTACGAACTTGTAACATATAGATGAACCACGGGTTTGAAAAAAAAAAGGAGAACGTGGGATCTTTTCTCGGTCTTCACTCAGAAACAGAAGCAACACAAGGGAATCAACAAAGAACAGACACAAGACAATGGATTTCAAAATAAAACATTTATTTATAAATATATATAAACAGATAAAGAAAGAAAAAAAAAAGAACATTCATTTAACAAAGAGGAAGGGGACCATTAAAGAACAGAAGGCGCGAGCGGATACATACATATATAAAAACAGATCAAACCAAGAGAATCAACTTATCTTTCAGTCGAGTTCACACAAAGTTCTGATTCGCCGAAGCGAGAGTTCTTATGCTACAACAATACTTTGGTTGGCCGGCAATTTTCCTGGATTCCTTTATCTTTCAGAAGTGTTCGATGGTCCACAACATCTTGTACAGGCATTTGGTTGGGTTGATTCAGTTTCATAGCAGTCCTTTCATCCCTAGTCAACAGACTTTGCTGTCTTCTTCATCTCAGTGGGCAGTCTGACGATTTTGCCCAGCGGCGTTCAACTGCCGCTGGTCAGAGGGAAACTGTTAATCCTTTTTTAGATTTTTGCTGTCCCCAAAGACAGTCATGTGGGTTCCCTTTGTCCTTGACCAATAATTTTTAAGGAAAGGGCGAAATCACAGAGTGTTTGTGTGATGGGCCAAAAGTTCAATCCACGGTTTAGTACATCCTGATTGGAATCGCAAAGGAGATCCTGATGGTGCCTAGAATTCTTCATGGTCAAATGCCTGATATAAATTTGGAACCAGGTCGTTCTCACGTCGGGTCACTTAAAGTTCACGGGCCCTTGGCTTGTGGGTTGAAATAGATAAAGAGGGAAAGAATTTAAATTGAAAGAAGAGGAGAGTATGGCTGATCATGGAACATATTCGCTGGCAAGTCAAAAAGCATTGGATTAAATTTCTATTTTTATTTATTTATTTTCTTTTATATCTAACTAATTTTAAACTTTGAAGAATTTAAGATTTTACTTTGGGGTGCTTTTTAGCCTAACATCTATGTGGTTAATGAAATTGGGGCTGCGTCACATCAGCTACACCTGATTTTTCTATTTCTCCCTTGTGTTACTGCTTTATGATGTTCTTGCAGTCTTACGTTAAGGGGGTGGCCTGTTTCTCCTTTGTATTTTCTACCACAGCTACACGGGATAGCATACACACAGTCCTTAATCATGCTCTCCTCTATGGGGAGGGTCTTACTTGGAAGAGGTGTCTGCAAAGTGTTGAACCACTTTTGAAGAATTTCCTGATGTTATATAGACTACAGATCTTTTGTATTTTCTCTGATAATCTCTTCACATAGGTAGTCAGAGTGTTTTCTGTTATCCTCTTGTACCTTTCTATCCCAGTTTGTTGGAGCTGCTACCATGTACCCAGGGTAGTTGTTATGTTGTAGGGTACTGCTTATACTGACCATTTCTTGTTGATATGTTTCTGGGTCGCCACTTATGACTTTTGCTTGATGTTGTGAGCAGCAGACAATCCCTTTCTTTACACTGTATGGGTGATGGGAGTCGAAGTTGAGGTATTGTCTGGTGGATCTTGGCTTGCAGTATACAGATGTCTTGAACCCCTGCTCTGTTTGAGATATGAGTACATTTAGGAAAGCGAGTTTGTTTTCATTTTCTCGCTCCATTGTGAACTGTATTGATGATCTGTTCACATGTTCCAGTAGTAGCTGGACATCTTCCTGGTATGGTCAGAGTATGAAAGTGTCATCTACATATCTCAACCATAGGGTTAGCCTTAGTGGTGTTGACTCTAATGTCATTTCCTCAAAGTATTCCATGTATAGGTTTGCCATTGCTGGTGATAATGGCAAGCCCATTGTTAAAGTGGATAAAGATGTTGGTTAGATCCAGTGACTAGACCCAAAGAGTTGTGAGTTCAATACCAGGCCACAGCAGTGGTGAACCAAACTTGAAGAGTTGAGTTAAAGGGAAATAACTGACACATCCTGAAGAGGCATGGCACGTGGAACTAAAACTAAACCCCGGTGAATGAAATAAAGGATTCGGTTCAAAATTCCAATCACCTGAAGAAGCCTGGAGCATACATAGCCGAAACATTGTGAATATGGCAATGAAGATGAGGAATTATCATTTTTATATGCTTTGCTATTTGGACCAGCATGTTATACTCACAACACTTCAGCTGTTGTACCCTCTGGTTTCTGTCTTTGTACTTGATAACCTTCTTGGAATTTCAAACCAAGCCCTTTATTCAGTACATAGAGATAAAGTGGTCCTATTTTGCTTTCTATGCTCAGGTGATATTTTATATCAGTTAATACTTACTTTTCTTATTCACTTTTGTGTTGTTTGTCTGTTTCTTCACCTGAACTAGTGTATTTTAATTTTCGATACTATCAGGCCTAGGGATTAAACTCACAACTGCCAGGAAACTTGATATATTTTAACAAATACTTTAATCTACTAGATCATGTATCCAAGAGAAAGTCCCTGGGTCTGGCAGTGTTGAAAAGTCACATATTCTTGTTCAGTGGAAAAATGGACTAGCATCACAGTAAATAAGACTGGTGAGTATTAATTAATGATCTTAATTTGTAAGCATGGAAAGTGGATTATATCTACCCTTGTGGATTGAAATAGTGTTTGGTTTGAAATTCCAAGAATGTTGCCAAGTAGACATATAGACACCTGATGATGACTCAAGAGTATAACACCTGAAATGTTATGAGTATAACAACTAAGATGAGTATGCTGGTGTGAATAACAATGTATATAATATTTATCATCTGTTTGCTTCATTATTTTTAAACTTCTCCAAAATATCTTACATAATCAATTTTCTCATCGAAATTTTTAAAAATCTTCTGTATTGAATAGCATCAGTTGAAAAGCAAGTGTTTTTCTCAAATGTTAAAAAATGTCTTCAAAAAAGGTTTGAGTTTGTATTTATGTTTATTTTGCTTTAAAACAATAAACATTGCTTAGGAATGAAGGTAGTTAAAATAATAGCAGTGTCATTATCCACACATACGCACACACACACTTTGAGAGAAAGAAAGAAAGAAAACAATGTACAACATTAAGTAAATACATTGCTAATCAGACTATTTTTATGATCAGTCAAAACCAAAGTTGTGCTCATAGTGTTGTCAGAAGCTAATTTTAGCAACACTCTAACAAACATAATCTGCTGTATATGTTATTGTTTTATATATAGAGTGTGCACCAGGTACTTGAAAATAAGTTATAAAAATATTCAATCAAAAAAAGTAAGTATATTTTCCCCAACTCAGAAATACATAAATACATCAACTTAAGAAAAACAGGGAATGGTTATTCATTGAAACTGCCTTTAGCTACAATGCAACCTCAAAAGCAACTGAATGCCCAGTTTAGGTAGTTTTTCATTCATTTTATATCCACAATGGTAGCCTTTAACAAGTCTTTGGTATTGTAGGGATGCCAGTTGTTCTTTCTCGAGAAGATGTCCCAAGTGTCCAGGAGATTTGAGTCAAGAATCCAGGAGGTAACATGTTGGGGGGTGACATGGTAGTGGAAATTCTTATTCAGCCAGTCATGTGTCACATGGAGATCTGAGTTTTGCTGGAACACATACAGCTTTTACCACTGTTCAGTGTTTAAGATCTGTGTTGGCTGTGAGGCCCTGTGGTAAGAAGTAGTGTCATTAATCATTGCTCCTAGGGCCATACACACAGCCTTCCCCTTATATAACAAGATCACACTGTGGAATTACTATAGTTAATATTATTGTTTATAGTATTTTTATTGTTAGCATTATTCTTTAATTGATTCACAGGTACTAAAATAGATTTACGAGAGAATAAGGAGGCAATTGGTGGATTAGCTGCACAGGGATTATCGCCCATCAAGCGAGAACAAGGCATGAAGATGGCTAACAAGGTGCGGGCTGTGAAATACATGGAGTGTTCTGCACTCACACAGAGGGGCCTGAAACAGGTAAGTAGTCATTATTTGTTAGGTTCTTTCATTTAGGCTAATAATTACATCTACCATTTATAAAACCTGCATTTCATAAAATGATATAGATGCTCCCCATACCGATATCATTTGTCATTATTTAGGCACATTTTGTCCTTTCTGTTATAAACAACTATGAAAAAAGTTAATTTTCTTGTTAAACTACTATATCCACTATGAACAAGTCTTCTGATGATGCTTTATTTATATTTAATAAACTTAGCTTCATACAAGTGAGTAGAAATAAGAGTTAGATGATTATGTTTTCAAAGTAGAGTGTCTTAAAATCAGTTTTCAAAATCCTATCTATTTTTTTTTTTAAATCTAGGTTTGTGTTATCCATAGCAAATACTGATATATGTGTGAATTCATGTTTACTATTTACTATATGCAACTCTGCACAAATATTCAACAGCTTGAACACAACCACTGATACCACTAAGAAATACACAATATATCATGCATGTGTTTTTTTTTCTCTGGCCACTGAAAATGCAGGGTATTAAGAAATGTGTGGTGGTGACTGCCTGATGACTCCTTTCCTGTCTGATTCTCAATCTGTGTGTTAGGCCTGGTTTATATAGATATTCTCTCCTAAAATTTGACATTGATATATCTAATTTCTCTACCCTGACTGTCTTAATCTTAGGAGATCTTGTTAATCACAACATGGCATTTTCTTTGTTCAGAATCTTCTGTTCTTTCTTTCTGTAAAGATGGTGTTTTGGGATGGACAGCATCAACATAAACAAACCCTAAGCTTGGGAATTAGACAAAATCCAAATACTTTCTTTGTTTAAAAGAATTTGCGTTTTCTTTTCTGTAGTGATATAAATGCATTTTGGATGTATAGTATAATGTAAACAAAACCCCAAGCTTTGGAGTTTAGGCATGAAATAGATGTCTTTCTTTGTCTAGAAGAATTTGGGTCACTTTTTTCCTGTATACACATTTTGAACATACAATGCTGCTTGAAAGTTTATCAACTCCCAAGGTATGGTCATTGTTATTGTGAACACATTTAAAATAAGCCTATAAAATGTGCATCCAAATACTAATTTGTAAAGTAGACTTTCCAAATTATGAACACAAACAAAAAAAAGGATGTATTTTAATTATTTATTTAAAAAAATGTGATTTATTTCTCCAAAACTGAAAAAAGTACAAAAATATGTGAACCCTTTTAGTTAGTACTTTGTGGAACCTTGTTTTTTATAGCAATTACCTCAACCAAACGTCTTCTGTAGCCACTGACCAGTCTCTTGCATCATTTTTGCCTATTCCTCCTTGCAAAACTCAGACAGTTGAGAGAGGTTGGAGGGACATCTGGCATAAACTGCCAGTTTCAGGTTTAACCACATTTCTATTGGATTGAGATCTGAACTTTGACTAGGTCAATCCAGAGTTCAAATGCTTTTCCTTTTAAGCCATTCCTTGGTATTTATGCTGGTTAGCTTATCTTGTTGCTGAAATCATTTTTTCTCAATCATTCAACCTATTCTCCAGAGAATATTAATAATTATTATCCAATTAGTAGCCCCTTAGCTCAAAATCACCATCCTGCAATTCATGGTTGGAAAGCATAGCAGTATTTTAGCTATTTCAGACCACATGTTCGGATACAGCTGTTTTGCTCTATCTGACAGCCATAATTCTGTTGCTCCACTGCTTTCAAATTTGTACTTGCATTCATCATTGTGTTTCAATTCAATAAGTTCTTCCTGGATATTTTCACTGACAGCTTCTATGTCACAACTGAAGGGATCCATCATCCACGGATGGACCTCTAACAAAAATAAATCTGAAAATCAGTTCTTTCAATTTCACTAAATATTCTGCATGCTTTTTATTAGTTTGTTCTGAGATGTTCACTTACTTCTCTTAGCTTGGGCATGTTATTGAAATTTTTTTTTTTTTTTATATTAACCTGAAATAAATCTAATTTTTTCAGAAAAGGCTTTCAGAACACATTTGCAATCTAGCAATGTGTATAATTTACCTTGAATCTGGAGTGAAACTTCATTGAACTTTCAAAAAATTCATGCAAAAAAGTAAATGTCGCATTTGTGATGTCAAATTTCCTCTGCCAAACAATTTCCAAAAAATTAACTATTGTACCAAATATGTTTACAAATCTGGCCAGGAAGAAGGAAAATGAATATATATATATATATATATATATATATATTTTAAGCATTCCACCCCAAGCAAGGCGAGAAGCCACTAGGACGCAAGAGGTTACAGAAAATTTGGAGCAAGATCAGATAGGAGTGATAGAAGAAAGGATGAGGAGAAGGATAGTGGATAGATCAAGGCAACTGGAGATGTCGATTGACATTACATTTGAATAGTTTGAGATTATAGCTCTCATGGAAACTAGAATAGGGAAGGGAGTTCCACAGGCGATAGGTGCGAGACATGAAGCTATTGGAGTAGAAAAGATGGCTACATTTCGGAGTTTTGACAGTGAAAGGGTGAGAGCGGGATGCCAGCCTCGTAGGGCGCTTGAACTCATGACGTCTGGGAACCAGAAAATGCAGCTCCTCGGAGCAATTACCATGAAAGTATTTGTAAAAAAGACAGAGAGAGGTGACGGCGCGTCTGTGAGAGTGACTGTAGACAAGATGCCAGAACAGGGACAATTATATTGCATATCCGCCTCTGGAGCCTATTAAGAACCCCGAGGCAAACAGAGAGGGCTCCAGACCATATATGGCAGCAATACTCCATGCAAGGGCGAATTGTTGATTTGTAGATCTGAAGGATCGATTCGGGGAGAAAAATTTCCTGGCGCGGCACAGGGAGCCAATTTTCCTTGGTTGGACGAAGCAATTGACTCAATGTATTTGTTACATCTCAGGTCAGCAGTCAACGTGAGACCGAGCAGTCGCAAAGAGGTATTCTCGAGAAGTTGAGCGTCAGACATTCTAATGGAGGGCAGGGAAGGATCTCTGTGGTGATTAATAGAGAACAGTTTTGTTTTTGAGGCATTAAAGTTGACCAGCCAATTCCTGCCCCAGTTCACAACCGATTAGAGGTCCTTTTCAAGACACACGACCAGGTTAGTTTTGTCAGCGACACTAGATTTGTTTTTGAGGCAGGAGTAAATTGTGGTGTCATCTGCATAGATGCCAACTTGGGAATTTATGGCGTCAGGAAGGTCATTTATGTAGATAAGGAATAGAGTGGGGCCTAGGGTGGAGCCTTGAGGAACACCTGTGTTCGTGGGATAGAAACTGGAGGAGAATCTGTTGAGAATGACCTTCAATTCACGGTTTGACAGGAATGATTGTATTAGGTCAAACAATCAACCCGTAATGCCATAACCCTGGAGCTTGCGAAGAAGGCCGGCATGCCAAACCCTATCAAACGCTTTGGAGATAAAAACTTTAAAAAAATTCTGTCATATTTGTTGTGAGATTTTATTTTATTGACTCTTTTAATAACTACCGTCAATGACTCGTGAATATCAGTGCTAATATTTTTGGCAACTAAATGACAATATGCAATGCACAGCAAGAATAGGACATATATTTTTTAAATGTGCAATAAATCTCTTATGCTTGCCAAAGATGGGTTGGATACCAAGTTTTCAAAGGGTAATTGATTTTCATCAAACTAAGATTTTGCAGTTTCAAAAATGGATAATTCAGTGGTATCAGTTTCTAAAAGTTTCACAAACAACTCTTCACAAAGCTTGCAGTAATCATCTATATAATGACCATATGCCACAAGAATATCTCTGTTATTGTTTACCGTTTCTCAATCTGAATTGAGAATTTAATGTATTTTAATTTTTCAACAAGTTGTCTCTCCACATATGCTGACATTTCATCAATTCTTTTCCGGATTGAATCATTGCTCAGTGGCATTGATTTTAAGATATTTGCCGAATCTTGCTGCAACACAGTTTTCATGAGAATTTCAAAGGAAGGCATTTTCAGCAACTGTATGTGCACTTCCAGTTTTTGCAATTACTCGCGCTATCACATAATTAAGTAATTAAGCCACTTTTATTTGTTTCTGTTTTCTTTTTTTTTTCTTTTTTTTTTAAATAAGATGAAAGAATATTTCATTGGTTAAAGTTTTTCTTTAAATTTTCAAAATAAGCAATGGGTTTGGTCACTTTGTCAGGATGTTTTCTTTTTAAAATACTATTTCAAAACGTTTTATTGCTTCATTAGAAAATGAACTGTTGCAAATAAGTCACAAGAAAGGTTGCCTTAATTTTCAAATGATTAATTTTTTACAAAGCCATAAAAATCTTTTTACATTTTTTACATTTTTTTCATGATTAATGAAAAAAAGGGCTAAAAATATAGGCACCAGGACAACCTACCACCAAGATAACTCACCATCAGGAAAACTTAACTTTTTTAAATTATTTTAATATTAAAATAAATACAAATAAAATGATTAGAATTATTTTTAAAACCAATATAAATATAATGATTATAATTTTTTATCTTTAAAATTAATATAAATGATTATAAATAGTTTTTTTAATTTTTAATTATTTATATTAATAAAAAGAATAAAAAATTACTTTCATAATTTTACTTTTTTTTTTTTTTTTTTTTTTTTATAAAAATTATAATTTATTGATTTAATCAAGTTAAAACCCAAAAAATACAAATTTAAAAATTCAAAAAGTAAAGTTGTCCTGGCAGCAAGAAGTCCCCATGATAAGTTGTCCTGGTGCCGAGTTGTACCCTCTTGAAAAATATAACACAGAAACAATATTTTCAACTCACTAACACTTGATCTAATTATTAATATTGTAATACTGTGAGTATACCAACATCATCCACTTCTTATAATTATTGTTTAATTATTGTAGTGTGCAAGTCGGTGAGTGATAGCAGATGATGCTTACTACCAGATACTGAATGAAATGTTTCAAAATCATTAGTTCAGTTGAAACATTTAGAGATGTGTAACTGTTTTACAAAAAAAAGTATTTCTGCTGGATGCAGTATGATGTGCTATCATTAAAAATAATTTATTTCATCCTTAAATGGTTAAAGACTTAATTTCATAAACAGATGAGAAAGCATAAATTTAGAAACATTTATTAAAACATAAACTCATAATTCTTATTTATGAATGTTTCCACTTACTATGAAAGAAAAGAACTTGTTTGTGTAAACTTATCCCTACACCCTACCACACTCAGAGAAACAATCATCCTCAATCATCTAAATTGTTGTCAAAAGTCTAGCAACAAAGAATATCAAAAACTGTGGAAAGTTATTTGCAGATTGTTGAATACTCTCTCATGGACAAGCCTCAGTGGAGAGAGTTTTCTCAGTCAATAAGGAAATTTCCGCTGACAATATGAAATGACAAACTCTGGTCACACAGTGCATTATCACATAATATTTGGCTATAGTTGGAGGTGCTGGGAATGTTCCCATGATTAAGGCTCTTCTCTGAAGTGCTTCCAATGCCAGAATAGAAAAAAACAGAGATCCATGCTTATGGAAATTGAAAGACTGAAGACCAAAAAAAGACAAGATTGAATGCTGGACACAAAATTTGCTTAAGTCAGCTGACAACTATGTGGAGAAAGCAGAGCAGACTCAGAACTGCACACTTATTGCAAAGTCTAATCCAATGTGAAGATCTGCAAAGCCCAATCAATATCAAAATTGGAAGAGGAGCTGAATGTTAAAGTAGATGAACTGAAAATTTTTTAATATCGTTGTCTCCTGTGCCATATGCAACGAAAGCCATGACTTGTAGGGCTAGCTAAAATTATGTGAAAAATTTCTATTTGTAGTTTTGTTCATTAAAACCATTATACTTAACTTCATAGGAAATCAAGAATTTTTGTGATATTCACAAACCATGAGTAGTCTAGATAGCTGAAATGTGTAGCAGTAAGAAATTAAAGTGTGTAATTCAAAGTGTAGCAGAACTCAAAACTGCAGAATGCTACACAAAATGTGTAACCTAACTAGGTCTTTTTACATTATTCACATTGTTGTCCTCGTCTTTATTGCCATAATCATGACATTTCAGCTGTTGTAGGCTCCAGCATTCTTCAGGTGATTGGAATTTCGAACTGAACCCTTTATTTCATCCACTGGAGTAGATTGTTCTCATTCCATGTGTCATGCCTCTTCCAGATTTATCTCCCTTTAACTCAACTCTCCAAGTTCACCACTGCAGTAGCCAGGTATTGAACTCACAAATCTTTGGGTCAAGTCACTGGGTCCAACCAACACTTTTATCCATATCTCAGTAACCAATTTTTTTACTATTTTTTGTTATTATTATTGTTTTTCTCTAGCGCTCTTTATTACTGGTTCCCATATTCATTTCTATGCTTGTCCAGCTTAGGAGATTTTTTGTGGCCTAGCATATGTGCTGATTCCTTAAGTTTTCATATTTTCCAGTGATGTTTTCTGTCTATTATTTCAACCTCATCCCACAGGGGTGGGAGTCTCCCTTTTCCCTCTCTATATGGTAAGCCACGCCTGATTTTTCTATTTCCCTTCATGTTATGGGTTTATGGTGTTCTTGATTGGGCGGCTTGTTTCTCCTTTATATTTCTTACCACAACTGCACGGGATAGCATACACACAGTCATTACTCATGTTCTCATCTATGGGAGGTTTTACTCAGAAGAGGTGTCTGCAAAGTGTCAAACTACTTTTGAAAGTCATCCTGATGTTATATGGACTAAAGATCTTTTGTAATTTCTCCGGTAATCCCTTCATATAGGGCAGGCAGACTGCAAAACGTGTGTTGTTATCCTCTTGTACCCTTCTACCCCAATTTGTTGGCGCTGCTGCCATGTACCAGGGTGTAGTTGTTACGTTGTTGGTTACTGCTTATACTGACCATTTCTTGTTCATACATCTCTGGGTTGGCACTTATGACTTTTGCTTGATGTTGTAAGCAGTGGACAATCCCTTTCTTTAGACTGTATGGGTGGTGGAAGTTGAAGTTGAGGTATTGTCTGGTGACTGTTGGCTTGGAGTATACCCATGTCTTGAACCCCTGCTCTGTTTGAGATATTAGTACATTCAAGAATGCAAGTTTGTTGTCATCTTCTCTCTCCATTGTGAACTGTATTGATGATCTCATTAAGTTCACATTGTTCAACATGAGGCTCTGGTAAAAAATGATTTCTGAGACATTAAGTTTATAAGTCCCAAAAATTCATACACTGATGTCCTCAAGGACACATGGTCTGGTGGATAAAAGTATTGGTTGGATCCAATGACTTGACCTGTTGTGGGTTCAATACCTGGCTAGTAGTGAACAAAGGAAGATAACTGAGACATCCAGAACACATGACACATGAAACTAGAACAATCTACTCCAGTGGACCAAATAAAGGCTTCAGTTAAAAATTCCAATCACCTGAAGAAGGCTGGAGTGTACAATGACCAAAACATTGTGAATATGGCAATAAAGATTAGGACAAGAGTCCAATCAATGTAAATAATTACAATACCTCATCTCAAAGATATAGACAGATATAACCAGTTGCATTCAGCGGTGTTTTAGCCTTCAGCACTTTGATTTCCTCATTGCTTTCAACTGCTCCATGTGACATAAATTATTGGAACCAGCTGTAGCTTTTCTTTGAAGATCTGTCAAAGTATTAAAAGATAAATCAAAAAGTTTGTGTTTTTGAAATTGATGATCATTCACTTTTTGTATGTGTGTGCATGGACTTGTGTAATTTACAGTCTTTGAAATTTCTTAACATGGTCCTGGAATTTTTTTATTCCGATCTGTGGGAACCCTGACTTTTTCAAATTTGAATTTTATCTAGTTTTGCAAAGTTATAATATACGCAATTACAGTTTAAGTATACCAAACACTTTAAAAAAATATTTTATAAAGAATGTTTTTTCTTATTTAAATTTTATTTGTAGAGAATGTTTTTCCTCTAATATATATCCTTGAATTTTCCTTACATTAGAATCCTTCCATGAAACTTATTAACTTTCATGTGTTATTACTATAACAAATGTAACTTTTGATTGGTACACAGAATCTTTATTTTCAAGTCAGGCATAGTTTTAGCTGAGTATATGACAAAGTAGTTTTTTTAGTCCACTTATCAGTTGTTATATTTATCAGTTATCCTTAGTTACATTCCATCTAAAAATATTGAAGTTTATTAAGAATTTAAAGACTGAACCATTTCAGCTTGCTGTTTTTTATTTTTTTACTATGAAATTAATTTTTTTTCTCCTACTATTGTTCAGGTATTTGAGGAAGCAGTCCGAGCCGTTTTGCAGCCACAACCTCCCCGAAAAGCAAGAAACAAGTGTCAGCTTCTGTAATAACATTCTTTTTCATCATCAAAACTATCGTTCATCTTTTTCTGAAATTCGGTGACAGGACTGATCAACTGAACTACTCAGTTCTCTACTTACAGACCAGCAAGCAGCCATTGTCTAAATTATACAAAAGGCTGTTGTTGTCGTTGCCTTGGTAGCCATTTTGAACTTGAACTGCATTGGCAGCCATTTTGAATTTTCAGTACTGGGAATGCAGTTTGATATGCATATGGACAGTCCAGCCTGGGGACGCGTGGACATATCATGGTGTGAGTGTGTTGTTGCCACCCTAGTTTCTGTGCTTTCTTCTTGCACCATTTTTAAGTGCAGGCAGTTGGTCAGTAACTGGCCAGCAACAAAAAATTGTATACAAAGAAAATAAATAATTATGGTAATACTACTAATGTCCCTCTTGAAGCAGTGGATGCTGGTCCAGATTTTATTTTTATTCATGAACTCAGAACACCCACATATGCAGTGGTCCATGTTTATTATTTTTCCTCTTTTTGAATATTTCTATACTACTTAATTGGATATATTTTTTCTTATTTTCTTTTTTTATTATACCCCACCACCCAACCATTTATTGGCAAGACATGATGTGCTTTGTACAACCTCCTCTTTTTGGAATCTTGAAATTACCTGAGCAGAAAAAAACAAAATCAAATATTTTTCTTTTGCTTGACTGTTACTGCTGGTAGGTTACATTGTCTGGTTTGCTGGTTTCTTCCACCCACTCTATTTCCATATGTATCATTCCATCAGTTTTATTTCTTCAAGTTGAAAATGAATTTTATGTCACCATCTCTTTTTCTTACTTGCTAATCTATTCATCTGTTTGCTTTGGTTGTCAATGCATTTTTTTTCATTTTTAATTCAGTTATTTAATCCTCAGATTATTTTTTTCTTTAAATCTTCCTCTTAGGTTTGAGTTATTTTCCAACAGTTATTGCAATATTTTATATTCAAACTGTTTTTCAAGACTAAAACCAAGAGGACAGTGAATTTCTCATTAAATGTTATCAAATCTGTGAATAGTTAAACTACTTTGTTCTATGCTTTCACATACATACAGATGTAGTCATTCTCTAAGCTTTTAATGTTAGTTAATGCAATTTTCCCAACATACATGTCTGTCAGATTATAGACATTGTTTATATTCTAAAAGATGTCTCCTGTGAATAAAGAAAATTTTATTTAAAAACATTTTACATATTAAATAATATATTTAAAAAGTTTCTTGACTCTGTTTTAAAATTAGTTACAATGACCAGAATTAATAATAAAAGGTATTTTTGCATTAAATTATAATACATTTGAAATATGTAAATTTAGACAGATACATTGTACCAACAATTTGGCTGACAATAGATTTTTCTGTTGAGAAAGAAAAGCAAAATGAATTAGAGATCAGTTTGGATCAGATTGATCTAATTTCTTATAAATTAAAACTCTTTCAAAACATTCTGCTCTATTTTGCTGTTTCTCCTCTACATGCCATTGGTTCAACTCTAAAAAGATGGGGATGGCTGCATAGTTTCCATACTTCAAACTCTAATATATCAATCTCACTTGTGGCCCTATTCACAAAGATGAGATTTAAAAAGAAAAGGAGGAGGATAATGTTACTGCTTCTTTTATTATTGCTAGTGATAGCCCACTGTTAGCTATTTTGTTTTGTTAATCAGATGTCTTATCTACTTCATGTTAGGATCCTCTACTTGCTAGTCTTCACCCAGTGACTCTTTTTCTTTTCTTTTTTTTTTCTAAAATGTTCAATATACAAGTTATCTTTTATACACACACACACACACACACACACACACACACATATATATATATACACATCTACTTTCTCCCTTGATTTTCAACAATTGAATCTGTATACCCTTATCCTATGACCCCATCCAACACCATATGCTTTCTCCACAATGATGTCCTCCTTTTCCTTGTATCTTTTCACTTTTATGATTATTTTTCAAATATTTTTCCTTATTTCCTTTTTCTTTTTTTAATCAGACTACCTATGCAAGTATGTGGTTTAAATATACATACTTATCCAAAGGCGTGACCATCTAAGCTTCTCCAATCTTCTTCTACTGTTTTTAAAAAGCCAAAAACTTGTTTTCACTACTGCCATACACATATAGAAGACTGAGAAAAGCTCAAAGCTAGAATGTAAAGTTGATAATAAATTTTAAGTCCTTGTCATTTATTTTCAATGGTTCTGTTTGTTCTTGTTTGTTTTCTATAAAAAACAAGGAAAAATGAAAAATATACAATTTAGTGTGAGACAAATTTTTATAAAGAACCCATTACCTTTTTTATCATTTGTTCTAATTGCACTCAGTTATACACAAATGTGAATTTTTTGTCTTATGTTAATTTTTTCTTAGAGTTTTAGTTGAATATACCAACATAAACTAGATGCAAAATTAATCTTAAATTCAGAGTTGTTGTAGTAGACAAAAGAAACGTTTTTTTCATTTCTTTTAAATTTTTATTTGAAAAATATTTTTTTTGCAAAACTTTTTCTAATTTATCTGTGTCCAAAGCTGTTTGTCTTAATTATTAGAACTATTTTTAAAAACACTTTTGTTTGCATCAACACCACCTTCTTTGGGAAAGTAGAGAGAAAAAATAAAAAAACAAACCCAAAAACTTGTAATGGCAACAGTGTTGTGTTAGAGACTAGTAGAGCAACGACAACACAGGTTGTAAACATAGCGTCTCCTTTAATAATCATTTGAATAAAAGAAAAATTGGTTTAAATTAAATAGTACCACATTTTTGTTGTTATTTTACTTTCTACTTTCTTTTTCATATTCAATAAGGTTACTGTTTTGCTAACCATTATTCTTACTGAACAAAATATTTTTGAAAATCTTTCATTTTGCTGACCTGTGAAAAGTACTTGTTATTCTCTTGACTAACATATATCTATTTACCTTGTATATAATATTTTATAAGTGCTCAACTAAGTGTTATGTTCTTCAGGTCAGGTTTTTGTTTACATTTGTATGAGATATGGGCTCCATGGATTTATATTCTATCACAAGTATATTAAAATGTAATTTCTTTTGCATAATTTAGTTATAATGAAATAAAACTGTACCATTTTATGAGTTCACTCTGCAGGCTTATTGAAAATACTTATTCCAGAATATAAATCAACAGGAATAAAAATATATATATATATATATATATATATATATATATAAATTTTAAACAATTTGCACTATATCTCACCACAAATGCTATTCAGTAAATTATCTCCCTTTAACTATTATAAGAGTTAAATTCCTGTATTAGTTTTGAGGGGGGGATATTAATATGATGACTTTTTTCAGTCTAGGATAAATCAACATGTGTGTGTTTAATAGGATATTACAGAAGAAACAATCTTAAAAGCTTAAGGCATAATTGTCTACATAAAGAAAACTTGAATACAGTAAGCCTCATTTCTTGCATGGGTGTAAGCATTGTAGCTATTAAATAAAATTGTACTAACCAATTTATATGGTGCTTTATCAGAGTAGTTAAACAAATTTGTTAATAAGAAATTTTCTTGTCTAATATTTCTAGCCTTGATCTTAAAAAGAGGGTTCTTTCAGGATATTTTATGAGTGAGAGTAAAATTTGGGGACTTTGCTAATAACTGTATCTTACATTTTTTCCCCCCACATTGATATAAATGGTGATCCTTTTTCAGGAGATATAAACTATCATATCAGGCTTTCTGTTAAATATGATTTTCTCAAAATTATTATTTGATATTAAGCAATGTTATTTATCTTCAGTACCAAGTGGGTGACCATTTGAAATACCAGGTGCTATAAGTAAAGGTCTCACTGCCTTGGGATTGAATCTATCTTTAAACATTTCTTGGTCATATTGATTACTAAAAGTTGTGGCTGCACAAACATTTCACTACCTAGTGGAAAAATAAATAATTTCTTCAATTTACTTTTTTAGAAAATTGGAGTGTATAATCTTGTTAAATGAAGAAAACTGGACCATTTCAATCTTGAGTTGAGTATTTCATTTATTCAGTGAAGAGATATTTTGTGAAGGTATATATAAAGAGAAAAAACAAACCACTTTACAGACTTAAAATATATGAAAAAAATGAAAATTATATATATATATATAGCACCTTCATATAATTATCACATTCTTATGCAAGAGTTAACAATAAGAAGCCTTCATTATTAATTTCAATATCTTCTACAAAATTTCAATTTGGAAAAGTAATTTTTTATATTTTGTCTTTATTTCAGTTTATAGATTAAAAGAAATTGAGAATTTATGGTTGTCTCACTGTATTAGGAGATAAATATTAAAACAATTTTCTCTTCATAAAAATCAATTAGTTTATTGCTTGATTAGCTGAAAAAAAATTACAAGAGTTGATAGTGATTAGCATTGTGCGTATATCTGATGTAGCAACAGAAATTGTCATAAATTTCACTGGATTAATTTGATACTAAAAATAGTTTGGGAAAAGATTCTCTCCTCTAAGGATTAGTCAGTTTGTTCAATTTTAAAAATGACAAAAAGCCAATGACAAAATTGAATCATTAAAGATGCAATTTTATTCCCTTACAAACATTGAAATAATGATCTTGTCTGTATTATCATTATTTATGTTTGGGCATTTGTTCAATCATTAGTACTGAAAAAATAAAAAAAAATAAATCCCAATGAGTAGGCCTCTGAAATATCCTCACGTTACCTCATGATTTTTTGTTTTTATACATAAAAAAGGCAGATTAAAAAAATTTATATATATATAAGGCTGAAGTATATGGATGTAGATATCTATACTTTAGCAAATAAAAATGTACACATTTTCCATAAAGAAAACCATTTGATTTTTGCAGTAAAGATCAATATCGAGATGAAATGGTTTGAGCAAAGGACTTGTTAATTATGTAGTTTCATGTAAGGAATTGCAAATTTTGTAAGTATTTGCTTGAATGTCACTTTTTATTTATCAAATT